GATAGCGGGAATCAGATACTGTTCGAAAATACCACTGCCAAATTTTGTCGAGATATGCTCAGATTTTTATATAGCTTCGATATACATCTTCATCCGATTTTACGGATATTGCTCCCCATATATTCAACCGAATTTTACCATTTGGTGAATCTCTATTGCTGCAATAAATAAATATAAACTTTTTTGTTACGGGAGCTCCAGTATATACGCTTAGTGGTGTAAGGTATCATATAGTCGACCCCGCTCGACTTTTGAACTTTCCTTACTGGTTTCGATATCATAAAGGGAAAATCGGTTATCGTAGTAAAGCAATTTACATTTTTGCAGTTCTGGCACACATCATATATCAACATATTTGATTTTTCTTTTCTATAAAAGGTTTAAATATTGGGATCCCTTTTACTCGTTCAAAGTAATATAAAGCCCTACTGTTAAAACTTCATACTTCTACCGCTTACAATATAAAACACATTATTGTCCAACTTTCAATAAAAAAAATATATATTGAATAATTTAACATAAAAAAGTAACATCTATTTTCAAGAAGCTCGAGCTCTAAAAAACAATTACAGCTGCTGGAGACAACAATTCGAAATTAAATTTCCAAATAAAAGGCCATTGAGATTCGTTCATCGAAACATTAACACACCAAACAGAACACAAATTTAGGCATCACCAATTAAGGCACACAGGGCACGCTCATAATCACCAGAAGTTTCCGACTAGAAATACAAAATAGCAAAATTAAATGAATTAATTACAAAAAAATATTTATCTTCTTTAAGTTACCTTGATAGCACTGACAAGTGTGCGATTGTAGATACGTTCAAATTCATCTTTAATATTTATCAAATCAATTTCAGAACGTGAAACAATAATGCGTATTAAAGTTTGATCCTCGGTGCCAGCTCCGGACATGGCATTGTATAGACGATTTGCAAAGAAGGCAGCTGGGGATTGAACACATTCAACTGAAATGGAAAGAAAAAATTGTTAAATTATAGCAAAATGGAAAAAATATAGTTTTGTTCCACAACTGCAAGAATATAAAGCTTTTTACCACGACAGCCGATTTTCCCTTTATGTTATCGAAAAAGTTTGCAAAATTTGCAGGTTCTGGGACAGAGCATAAGTTATCAAACAGTTCTTCAGTAGTCTACAATGCTCAGTTTAAGATAAATATATTTAAAATTGTTTCTAAAAACCCTCTTGGATATGGGTTGGGCCAAAGCTCAACTATTGCTCTGTTCCAGGACCTGCAAGAATCTACTAGTTGTACAATTTTTTTCGATGTCATAAACGGAATTTGGTTATCCTAGTAAAAAATTGAATATTCTTGTATTTTTGGAATAGGCCATATATCATTTTCAATTTTAGATCTTACTACATTCTAGGTAAATCACATCATGAACTTTAACCACAATTCAGCTATGCAATTGGAAATATTGTTTTCTATTAGAATTTCATCAATTCTCTTTCTGAACTCTAAGCTTTCTCATTCATCATTTTTTTCAGAAAAACACTCACCAATTGCCATCATGGCTTCATGCATTTCACCACTCATTTCATGTTTGATAGCCTGTTCCAATGTTTGTCCCGACAGCTCTTTATATTCCTCAAACACCAAACGCAATTGGGCAAAGCTACCATGAGCCAAAATACGATTGAATACCTCTTCATCGGTACCCAATTTGGCTTCGCCAGCATTATACAACTGTTCAGCCTGTTCCTTGGCCTTTTCGGGATCAACAGTACCCACTGGATCACGCACACCTGTAATAATCAAGGTCAACAAACGGCGAAAATGTCCATCTGTTTCACTGCATAACTGTTCGGCCAAGGGACGATCATACATATCCTCGTAACATTTTACGATTTCCGACATTTCTTCATTCGATTTTGTGCAGAGGATTTCAACGAGCGTACTTTCATCGGTTCCCATACCAGCCATGGCTTTATGTAATTGTTTGCACAAATATTCAATTGGAGGCATCATGAGGGCAATGATGACATCCTCAAATTTGCCACCCAGTTCACTTTTCAAATCATCAATCAAATCACGTCCGTATTCTCGCAAAAATTGTTCTTTGATTAGCTGGCGTTGGGCATTGGTGCGTGCTGTGAGAATACCAAGAATTTCTTCTTCATTGGTGCCCAAACCTTTCATGGCGCCACGTAATACAGCGGCATCGGCCTCGGCATCAAAAGGATTGGCTGGAACAACTGAGGGCTTTGGCTGAAATCAAATTGAAAATATTTAATTAAAAAAAATTCTCCTAGTATTGCACTTTCAGAACTTACTGTATAGTCCATGATTCACAATATTCTTTCTTTTACTTGAATGAATTAATTACGCTTAAGTGACGTCGTACTACTACGTACTCGAACTATAAATAATTGTACTTTCTTTTTTGTATTGTCTTTTTAATGTACCGCCCCTCTAAATTCCATAGCTTTAATATGTAGGTATGTGCTCCGCAGTTGTGTTGTTTGTCGAATACGCGCTACTGCTTCCGAGTTACCAGTTTGTTGTCTGTCTAGAATACAACTAACTAAAACAGAAAGAGAGTACAATTAACAAAAGCAAAAATGATTAATAAATTTTCCAGAGATTTGTTTTGCTCGTTCACTTCGTATGTAATTTGTGTCGGTACCATACTGATGGAATTCTTATGCGGGACGGGCTGGCATCGCATCAGCCGTTAATATTCGAAATTGGTAATTTCCAACTTTAAAATAAAAATACGAATGAAATTGTAATTCTTTTATGTTTTCAGGTTTTCAAATCTTCAAGATTGGAGGCTTTAGTATTAAGAATGAAGTAAAAAAGAAAGAAAGAATTAAAATTAATATAGGCTCTGTTCCAGAACTTGCAAGAATCTACTAGTTTTGCATTTTTCCGATATCATTAAGTAAAAATCGCGGATAAGGGAATTTTGTTGATCTCTTATAAAGCGATAGGTCGGTCTGTGAATACAAGTGCAACGCATTGGAAAAGTGGTAAGACCTGTCAGAATACCGCACTGAGAACTGCTACAGGGTGTCTCATCATGACTCAACGGACCATTTACATGAGCAGACAAAGGTTCTTTCATAACGTCAGCATAATCATAAGCTTTCGTTGCAATACCTATTTGGGTGTTGCCGTGTGAGTCATCCTAACCGTGCGAGTCATTTTAACTATGATGGACAGCACTCTCTCACACAGGCGTGTCGGGAATGGAGTTGTATGATCTAAAGAGAGAGAGAGGGAGAGAGAACCCAGATAGGTTATCTAGATCAGAAAACCTATCAGGAGGTATGAATAGCATTCATACTGATGCAGTCGCCGATGTAGTTAACCATTGGTGATACCATTACGAATGCCATCTTCGGAGTCCACCCACAGAATCTATTGCACCCGAAGAACATCGGCTGCCTAGACAAACCTTTATAGTTTTGGCGCAACTACGTTCAGAATGGTGTAGCCGTCTCAATTCGTATTGGGCTCGAATTGATGAAGATGTGCGAAACACCACAAGGTGGCCAGGGAATTATGTCTTTGTGCATTTGGTTGTATCAGGCAAAAGGTAACGAGATAGACCCATAGTTCCTTTTGATGATCTGCATAGAATCACATTCTGAGTCGATTTATGCATGTCCGTCCGCCCGTCTGTCCATGTATTTTTGTGAACAAAGTACAGTTCGCATTTATGAAATTTTGCACAAATCATTTGTTTGGCTCAAGGACGAACCCTATTGAAATCGGAGATAATCGGTAAAAATTTAGATATAGCTCCCATATATATCTTCGTCCGATTTGCTTTTTATAGTGCACCAAACGTGTAATATCAACCCGAATAGTATGGAATTTTGCACATACAACCAAATTAGGCCTGAAAATATGTATGCAAAATTTCATCGAAATCGGTTCAGATATAGCTATAGCTCCAATATATATTGTTCATCCGATTTGTTATTTTAGTCCTCCGCAGCCGTAATATGCATTCTGTAACAAAAATATTTGGGGCAATATATCAAATACAGCTCAGAAATATCTTTGATAAATTTTATCGAGATCGGTTCGGATTTGGAAATATTTCCCATATATATCGTCCGATTTACTTTTTATTGTGCACCAAACGTCTAATATTTGCCCAAATGGGATGAAATTTGGCACTTACGACCGAATTGAGTGTAGAAGCTAGTATGTCAAATTTGGTGAAGATGGGTTCAGATATAGCTATAGCTCCCACATATATTGTTCATCTGATTTGTTATATTTGTTACCCACAGCCGTAATATGCACTCCGTAACAACGATATTCAGGGAAATATATGAAATACAACTCATAAATATCTTTGCCAAATTTTATCAAGATCGGTTCAGATTTGGATATAGCTCCCATATATATCAAATGGGCAATACAAGTCCGAATTTAAAAGATACAAATGCTTTGACATATTTAGTCTTTTGAACTTTAAAATATAGTTATAATCATAGCGTGTATGATTAAATTCCCCCATAAAAACTTTTAATTGTTATGTGGAGCTCTACTAAATTAGCAAAGTGGTGTAGGGTATCATAAAATCGGTCCTCCCGACTTTAAGACTTTCTTACTGGTCAATGTTTTAAAAATCTTCAAACTGCCCATGTTTTTCCAACATTTTTTTTCAGATTCCAATATGAAGATAATACATCATTCGAAGCCGGAGCCATTTGCAGTTTACTACTTAACAATAAGCATGAACACTGCTAAAAGAGATTTGTATTATCGTGTGAAACTTGAGTAAAGGTGAGAATACTTTGTCTGGAATCTTTATAAATAAACAAAAAAGTTTTAGGTAAACATAGTTTAATTTCAGCACGTAATCTATATTTTTTCACCCTACGAACCTTTGTTATTTTACGAAGAAGCCATCCGATGACTTAAACCAGGCAAAAAAGCGTTTTATGTATCCCCACCTTAAGAATTAACAGCTGGCAGCTCGCACTCAAACCATTAAATAAAACTGCCAGTATTTAATAATTTAACATAAAAATGATCTCTATTTTAAGGATTTTTAAGTTTTACTAGACAACTATAGCTGCTAAAGACACGAATTGGGAATTTTCATTATAAAAAGCCAGCATTATCTACCACCGAAAATATAAAACATCAACAGTAATTTAGGCACCGCCAATCAAAGCACACAAGGCACGCTTGTAATCGCCAGATGTTTCGGACTAGAAATACAACATATTAAAATTATTTGATAATTTTTTAAACAAATTACCCAACTCTTTTGTTACCTTTATAGCACTAACAAGAGTGCGATTGTAGATTCGTTCAAATTCATCTTTAATATTTAGCAAATCGATTTCAGAACGTGAAACAATAATACGTATTAGAGTTGTATCCTCGGTGCCAGCTCCGGACATGGCATTGTATAGACGATTTGCAAAGAAGGCAGCTGGGGATTGAACACATTCCACTGAAATGGAGAAAAAAATCGTTAAACTATAGCAAAATGAAAAAAAAAATATTGATTTGTTCCAGAACTGCAAGAATATAAAACTTTTTTTACTAGGATAACCGATTTTCCCATTATGGTATTGACAAAAGTTGCAGAACTAGTAGATAATTGCAGGTTCTGGAACAGAGCATAAGTTAGCAAAAATTTCTTCAATTGATTGGAATGCTCAGCCTAAGATAAATATGTTTTGAATAGTGTCTAAGAACTTTAGTGGATAGTCGTTGCACCAAAATTCAACTATTGCTCTGTTCCAGGACCTGCAAGAATATCGTACAGGAAAAATTGGTTGTCATAGTAAAAATATTTTACATTATTGTAGTTTTGGAACAGGCCTTATATCATTTTCAATTTTAGATCCTACTACATTCTAGTTAAATCACATCATGAACTTCAACCATAATTCAGCTATGCAATTGAAAATATTGTTTTTTATTAGAATTACATCAATTCTCTTTATGAACTTTGAGTTTTCTCATTCATCTATATTTTCAGAAAAACACTCACCAATTGCCATCATGGCTTCATGCATTTCACCACTCATTTCATGCTTAATTGCCTGTTCCAATGTCTGACCCGACAACTCTTTGTATTCATCAAACACCAAACGCAGCTGGGCAAAGCTACCATGGGCCAAAATACGATTGAACACCTCTTCATCCGTGCCCAATTTAGCTTCACCAGCATTATACAATTGTTCAGCTTGTTCCTTGGCCTTTTCGGGATCTACAGTACCCACTGGATCGCGCACACCCGTTATAATCAATGTCAACAAACGGCGAAAATGGCCACTAGTTTCACTGCACAAATGTTCGGCCAATGGACGATCATACATATCCTCGTAACATTTCACAATTTCCGACATTTCTTCATTCGATTTTGTACAGAGTATTTCAACGAGAGAACTTTCATCGGTTCCCATGCCAGCCATTGCCTTATGTAATTGTTTGCATAAATATTCAACTGGAGGCATCATCAGGGCAATAATGACATCCTCAAATTTTCCACCCAGTTCACTTTTCAAATCATCGATCAAATCTCGACCATATTCACGTAGAAATTGTTCTTTTATCTGCTGACGTTGGGCATTGGAACGGGCTGTGAGAATGTCAATAATGGCCTGTTCATCAGTGCCAAAACCTTTCATTGCGCCACGCAAAGCAGCGGCATCGGCTTCGGCATCAAAAGGATTGGCTGGAACCACAGAGGGAGTAGGCTAAAGATAAATAAAATATTTAAGTAATTTTCAATTTTTTCTCTTTCCGTACTTACTGTGTAATCCATGATTGAAAATATTTCTTCTTAATAAATTAATTATGCTTGAGTGACGTTGTACTACGTACTCGAACTATAAACAAAGTGTACTTTCTTTTTTCTCGTCTTCTTTTTTTATGACGCCCCTATAAATTCTTTGGTTTGTATACGTGTGTGTTTAATTGTTATGCTTGCTACACTTCGAACCCGCTGCTACTTCCGAATCGCCAGTTTGTTGTCTGTCAACAACAATACAACTAACTAAAAAAGAGCACGATTGGCAGAAAAAAAAAGAATAATTATATTTTCCAGAGATTTGTTTTGTTTGTTTCTTCGTTTGAAATTTGTGTTGGTACCATACCGGTGGAATTTTTTATACGGGATTGGCATCACACAAACCCGTTAATATTTGAAAATTTATATTATTTCATATTTTGTTCCAAAACCTGCAAGAATTTCCAAGTTTTGCAAATTTCTTCGATATCATAAAGGGAGAATCGGTTATCGTAGTAAAAATTTCTTGCAGTTCTGGAACAGACCATTAGTTTTCCTCTCCAAATTTCATGGATTAATGCCATGATGATGTTGAATAAATATAGATGGCCAAATTAATATATAAATACATTAAGAATTTGAAAGGTATATCCATTGATACAAAGAAGTGCTATTATAGTTGGATAATTCCAATCCGGAAATCCAGAAACAACAATGAAAGATGTCTTTATTTTTGAAAGCATACAAATTCTTGAAGCGCTTAATATTTTGAATCAATTATGAATAACTGACCACAAATTGTATTTGCACTTTATTGAGAGAAGTTCTGAAATCGGAAATTATTTTGCAAAAATGTATTCCAATCCGAAAGCGAACAATTTTTAGTTTCTATGCTATGATAAAATAAAAACCAGTAAAGAAAGTCTAAAAGTCGGGCGGGCCGAATTTATGATACCCTACACTCCTTTGCATATTTAGAAGAGCTTCACATACCAAATCGGATGAACAATATATAAGGGAGCTACGGTTATATCTGAATCGATTTTCACCAAACTTGCCATACTTGTTTCTGCACTAGTGCCAAATTCCATCCCATTTGGGCAAATATTATACGATTGGTGCACAATAAAAGACAAATCGAACGAAGATTTATATGGGAGCTATATCCAGAACTGAACCGATCTCGATAAAGCTGTATTTGATATATTTCAACAAATATAGTTGTTACAGAGTGCATATTCCGGCTGCGGAGGACAAAATTATCAAATCGGATAAACAATATAAATGGGGGGTATGGATATATCTGAACCGATTTCGATAAAATTTTGCATATATATTTCCAGGTTTAATTTGATCGTATATTCAGAATTCCATTCTATTTGGGCTTATATTACACGTTTGGTGCACAATAAAAGGCAAAACGGATGAAGAGATATATGAGAGCTATATCTAAATTTTGATCGATTATCTCCAATTTCAATAGAGTTCGTACTAGAGTCATACAAGTGACTTGTGCAATTTTTCATCTGAACTGGGCAATAAATACGACCTGTACTATGTTTACAAAAAATATATGGACAAACGGACTGACGGACATGCATAAATCGAGTCAGAATGTGATTGTATGCAGATCATTAAAAGGAACTAAACTAAATTTGCAAATGGTTTAAAATTATCTCCAAATTACTATCAATTCAGGTACACCTTGGTAAATAAGAAATTCAAACATCCTCAAGGATACAACATACTTACCCTTAAAGAGGATCCTTGTACCTAAATGATCTGGCCCACCAAATCCCTTTTTCTAACATAGAAACCGGTTAATATTTAGTCCTACTTTTTATTCTCAGTCCTTGCATGGACATGGCAACGCTTTCCATCATCAATTGCTATTATTTTACAATTTTAATTCTCATAAATGGAAGACGGTTTGACATGAAATCCATAAGACTATGGTTGTAGTCCGGAAAATTATTTAATATAACTGTAAACAATTTAAAAAATATCAGTCGGTTTTGCCGAAAGATGTATAACCTTAGCCAATGTTCGTTTCATTAAATATATTTTGACTTTTGTTATTATTATTCATTATGTTGGGCCTCTATGGAGTGGGTTCCGAAAAAGAGAACCAATATTCTCCATTTCGTATCAGACCTAAATAAATATGATATAAATCTTGCGATGTGTCAGGTTTGGACTACGTATAAAATATATACAAGTTTGAATGGAATCGGATTTTAATTTCGCGTTTTATGAGCTTCATGGGTATTCAAAACCTTAACGCTTTGTGGGGGAGTGGGCCAATATATCCCATTTTCACACCAGACCTTGGGTTAATAAAAATCAGATTTTATAAGAGTGATAATTATTTAAAATTTTGACCCTTTGTGGGAGAGGTACTTGATGGAGTGGACCGATATTGTCCATTTTTGCGCCTGACCTAGCACTCACGCAAACATAAGGATTTGCAACGTTGGAGCAAAATCGTATTATCGTGTCTGTTTCTGTGCAGAAAATATTTTATAGAAAATGTTATGAAAGACTTATATTTATTCAAAATTTCGACCCTTTGTTTGGGAGGTACTTGATGGAGTGGATCGATATTGTCAATTTTCGCACCTGACCTAGCACTTATTCAAAAATTAGGATTCGTAAAGTTGGAGCAAAATCGGATTATCCTTCTCTTTCTGTGCAGAAAATATTTTATTGAAAATTTCGACCTTTTGTGGGTGCGGTACCAGAAAGAGTGGACCAATATTGTCCATCTCCGAACTCGATCTAAGTTTGATAATAATATTACGATGTACCAAGTTTGGACCAAATCGGATACTCCTTTGAGAATATCGTGCGCACCAGCCAGCCCGACAAACAAACAGACGGACGGACGGACATCGCTAGATCAACTCCAAATGTCCTAAAACGAATTTGGTCAAAAGAGACCTAGAGTTTAAAACCGTTATTTCAACTAGGCACGCTTTGACCGTATCAAATGCTATATACCCTCTGTAGCCATATGGCTGAGGGTATAAATATCAATATTATTGTATCCGTAGATTATTCTTGTTGTCCACTAATTACTTGGAAGTCTCAATTATTTATAAACTTAAAAAGTATACATCCATAACTTGAAGAAAAAATGGACATTATAGTGTTGTTTGTCAACCACCTATAAAAATTATCGTATTTAAACTATGAAAACTAATTGTTATTTTCATTCACCTATATGAAAGATACAATATATTAAAAGAAGTGTAGTCTCTAGACCTGTGGTATTACTTCACAATTTTCTTTATCCGCATTCTTCTTTTTGACTCAACGTTTCCGTGTAAACAGTATTTATAGTAATTACAAATTACAAATTTTATTATTGATGATTTTTATCATAAGGCGTCTATTTCCCCTCTGCTAGGATTTGATACATTACCTCTAGAGAAATTATATGCTCAGGTTCCAGACTTTTTAAAAAAAACCTTCAAAATTCAAAGTAGTATAACTTTTGGTGATATGCATTTTGTACGAGGCACTACATTTATTATGTGCTGAAACAGCATAAAATATAACACAGAGATATATAGGATGATTACATAGCGACAAATAACACAACATTTTTTAATACTTGTATGAATGAATAAAGCTGCTCTACACAAAAATTAAGATTGTTTTTAAATTTTGAGCCGTCCTACATGAAAAGGGATTTGGCCAAAGAGATTCGTTGTTGTTTCAATTTTAGAGTATCTTTAGGCACCACCAATCAGAGCACACAGGGCACGTTTATAATCACCCGATGTTTCAGACTGTAAATAGAACAACAGGTCATTATTAAAATTATAATTGGAATAGAAAATATCAACTCAAATACATACCTTTACAGCACTGACCAGAGTGCGATTGTAAATACGTTCAAATTCTTCTTTGATATTACCCAAATCAATTTCAGAACGTGACACAATAATGCGTATTAGGGTAGTATCATCTGTGCCAAGACCATCCATTGCTTTGAACAGGCGATTGGCAAAAAAGGCGGGTGGAGATTGTACACATTCGACTGAAATAGAGAAAGAAAAATTGAAATTTTAATAATTTACCAAATATTGGATTTATTTCGAAAATAAAGTTTATATCCCAATCGACGACTAATTACGTGATTATTAGATGAAGAATTACTTAAAAATATCAAATATCAAAAAAGCGTTTGAATCGGCTGGGTCCTGTCGTTCATGAAAGTATGTAGTTCCGAGTCAGTGTATGCTAATTAAGAATATATTTATTTTATTTCGAAGCAATGCAAACGAAATGGTCCCTCTTTTGATAGGAAAAGTAAATAAGGATTTTAAAGTAAATATATATGGACTGATGTGGCTTATTTACCACAAACGCCTATTCCTAATATATCTTTTATCCAAAAAAATATGTCTTCTATCTTTAACAGAGGTGCAGGGTATAATAACCCTTCATTGCAAAAATAAACGATTTTACCAAAATACGTTTCCCATTGACATTGTCTTAGTACTTCAATACATGCACAGACAGCGTTCTCTGTTCTACTTACCAATGGCCATCATGGCTTCATGTAATTCTCCACTCATTTCATGTTTAATGGCTTGTTCAATAGTCTCGCCCGACAATTGTTTATATTCTTCAAATACCAAACGCAATTGAGCAAAGCTACCATGAGCCAGAATACGATTGAACACCTCTTCATCGGTACCCAATTTAGCTTCACCAGCATTATAAAGTTGCTCAGCTTGTTCCCGTGCTTTATCCGGATCTACAGTACCCACTGGATCTCTGACACCCGTCACAATCAATGTTAGCAATCTACGAAAGTGACCCGATGTTTCACTGCACATATGCTCGGCCAATGGACGATCGTACATCTCTTCGTAGCACTTTACAATTTCTGCCATTTCCTCATTCGATTTAGTGCAAAGTATTTCCACTAAAGTACTTTCATTGGTACCCATTCCTGCCATGGCTTTATGCAATTGTTTGCACAAATACTGTACAGGTGTCATCATCAGGGCAATGATAACATCTTCGAATTTACCACCCAATTCGCTTTTCAAATCTTCAATCAAATCTCGTCCGTATTCACGCAAGAAATTCTCTTTTATCATTTGGCGCTGGGCGTTTGAGCGGGCAGTTAGAATATCAATGATGGCCTGTTCATCGGTACCGAAACCTTTCATTGCGGTACGCAATGCCACCGTGTCGGCCTCAACATCCAACGGCTCGGCTGGTACAACAGTTGGGATGGGCTAAAGAAAACAAATTTTCGGATGTTTTATTAAACTATTATGTTTGAATACTAAAAAAGTACTTACATCATAATCCATAGTGAAGTATTTCTTGAGAATAAGAGGGAAATAATCTGTGTGATTGATAAGTGTTACGGAATAGACCTGCAATGTTTAGAACCACGTAGAAAATTGTCTCCTTTCGCTGAAACTTCGTTAACTTCCACGCCACCAACGAACTTAGGACACGACACTGCGATACGATACGGAATTAAATATATCGTATTGTATACGATATGGAATCAAAAAATCAAAATAGAAAGGCCGACAACAAAAAGTGTTCCCTAGATCGGAAGATGTGGACTCAAAACAGAAAGGCCGACAAACATAAGTGTCCCCTAGATCGGAAAACATGACCGGCATTCAAGCTGTTTTGTCGAGAATAAGGGTTACCCCATGGTACAATGAATTCAAGGTAGGGCAGAACTACCATATGATTTAAATTTTTTTATTTTTCTGGCTTAATATGTCAACTTCATTTGCTTATGTGTGTGTCCTCTTTTCAAAAATAAAAAATTGTTCAGAAAATATTCAAATTCGGGAGTTTTCAAAATGCGAAAACGAATGCATCGACAAAATCTACAGTTTTTGTCGCGAAATGAACCATATGAGATATATAGAACATGATATTGAAAAGAAATTTCGACCATTCATTCAGTTTTCACGGTTTTAAATTATTTATTCAAAACCAATGCAACAAGTTGTTTGCTTTTTTATTGTTTTGATAGTAATTCTGACATTACAAGCCAAACAGGTAGACCTCTATACTTGCAATTTTTTTCAAAGTTGACCTACCTTCTCTTCATTGTACCATGGGTTACCCTGTTAAAATGAGACAGTTCCTTCTAATTTTAATTCGTTAATGTAGAGAAATAAGAAAATGGACTAAACGGAAAGTCAGGATAAAAATAGGAATTAAAGCAAAGCAAAAGGCTTCAAGAAGATCGAAAAATTCATTTTAAAGGGTTTTAGAGACACAATTGTCTCCCAACAAAACACCTGTTTCTTCAAGCCAGGAACAAGTGTCGAATATCGTTAACACATATTCGACATACATAAAAAAATTGTAAATATATAAAAAAATTGTAAATATTAGAAATTTGTAAATATATAAAAAATAGTTTTTTTTAATATTTAAAAGTTTAAATGAAATATTACTTAAAAATATTAGAAAAGAACGTATATACGTACATAACACTTAAACGATCGAAATGTTAAGTTTACTAGTGAACGCCTAAAAGTATGCAAAAAGTTTGGGCTTTTTATTTGCCTTTGAATTCTATAAGGGTTGCCAATAACTTTCTAAAAGAGTGAGAATGATATGGTTTTCCCATGACACAATAACGGAAGGTGGAATAAAAATAACTACTACATACAATTGTTTTCCTTTGGTGCACCTATTCTGTCAAAATACATACACAGTTTGTTTATGTGTGTGTATTGAATAAATAAGAAACAAATTCATATTATTTCAAATTTAGATGCAATAGAAATGCATAATTTTGGGATAACACAATATTGTCCCTCAATTTTGTGGAATGGACCCAAATTTCCATTCATGTTTTGTGGTTTTCCCCGATATAAGAATTTAAAGAAAAACATTAATATAAACAAAACCATTTTTTTAATGAATAAATATCTATTTGACACAATAAGGTTCCAAAACAGAGTTGAATTTTCTTAGTTACTTTGAAATTGAACAAGCCATAGTTTTTTTCTAAACATTTGAATTAAGAGCATTTATAGCATATTTACATTCTTTATTTGATATGGCCAAAATCTCAGTATCTCTGGCTTCCCGGGGCGTACCCGATAATTGAATATTATCTTTTCCTAAAGTTAGAAAAACGAAACAAAACTGGACTATAAAAAAAGATATAAGAACAGGCCACAAAATAATAAAAATGAGAAAAAAGGAAAATTCCAATCTCAATTCGAGAAGGAAGAAAGGTAGCGCTATTTTTGATAACGCGGCATCTCATCCTCGCGAAGTTGAGTTGAAGAACATAAAGATAATATGATTACCTCCAATGCAACTTCAGTATGCCAGTCTCTAAATAAAGGAATTATCTGATCTTTAAAAGTTCCATATAGTTAACAATTTTAGAATCTCATTCAAAACTGCTTTCGTAAAGCTGGGTATGATAAAGATATTTACGACTCTTTTGAATTTGACGACGAAGATTGCATTCCTTTACTAGACTTATAAATGCTAATTAAAAGTTGTGTTCCAGTACTTTTTTAGTAGTAAAACTAGCCGAAGAGAGAACTGTTCGAAATGTCATTCTCATTTAGGTTTGCTCAAAAAATAAGGGAACGGAAAATTAGCAGAAATGCGATAAAATGTCAAAATTCAAAATTCCAAAAGTAAACAGCCTAAATCGGACTGGTGAAACCTTACTGAAAAGAACGCCAACATTTAAAAAATGAGTATTGAAGACAATAAGTTAAAATTAATAATTTATAATAATAATTAATAATCTGATTCCTCATTCAGCCAGTCCTCTTCACTGCTGGATTCATCCAAAAGTGAATACATTAGTTGCTCCATATTTTCTTTTTTGTTTTTTGCACGACAAATATTAGTTTTTCCTTTAGTTTTCAAGTTGATCATTTTCTTTATTGAAATGTATCAATACATTTTTCAACCTTGTTAGCTCTGCCAATTAAATGTCAAATTTACAATATGAACATTTCTGCTCGGCCAAATTCATGTAGCTAAAACGAGCAGAAATGTGCACCACTCAGCGCAGTTTTTGGAGTACGGGAACGCGTTGTAGCAGAATTTGTGCTAATTAGTACTAATTTGCAGGTTCTGGAACACAACTAAAGTCTGTGAAACGATTCGGCCTGAAGAATATCTCTATGTACATTAATCAACATGTAAATACCGAGAAAATCTAATTTTATTCAAATAATTCATTTGGAAACATCTCGTTGTCAACATTTATATTTTTAAATTTATTGTATACAGGGTGAGATGAAAAAATTGCAACCAACTTCAGACTGCTGTCATTTCTAAGCCACTCGTCCCATAGCTGTTAAAATTATTCCAGTGACAGCTCATTATATTGTTTACAAGCGTGCAAAAGCATTTTGGTGAGAATTTTCCAGAAAAAAATTGTTCGTGATGGAATTCATGCGTGATAGCGTGATTTATCTATATTTGGCTGGAAAACCACATGTGGCTATCGTTAGAGCACTCCAGCATTTAAATGTGAATAAATCTTTTGTGTCTCATGCCATCGCTCGTTACCGTGATACGGAAGAAAACAGCAACATCAGTAGAAATGGTTCGAAAAGTAAAGAAGCGACTCGATCGAAACCCGCGTCGCAGTGGCCGTCGTGAGCTGATCGGGTTTACTTGTCAAAGAGGCCAGCTGAAAATGTGCACCTTCTGTTGGCCACAAGAACTCAAGTGCCGGCCATGCTGATGGTGTGGGCCGCCATAACAGCCGATGCTCGTTCTCCGCTCGTGTTAATCGACCGTGGCATCAGAATAAAGTCCGAATATTCTGGAGGGTGTATTAAAGCCTTGGGCACGCAAATATTTTGGCCGCAGACCTTGGACATTCCAACAGGACTCAGCACCTTCGCAATCAGCATGCGCCAATGGTTACAAAAAGAGTTTCCTCGCTTCATTTCCAGCGCACAATGGTCACGAAAATCTCCGGATACCTATCCGTTGGACTATTGTGTCTGAAGTATTTTGGAAAGCAAGGTTGGCACTAAAAAGTACCAAAGTGTCGATTAACTCAAGTAAGCGCTTGCCAAAATACCGCAGAGCAACATTCGGGCAGCGTGTGACGGTTTCATTGGCCGTTTGAAGGCCATAATTCGTGCCAAAGGTGACCAATTCGAATAAATCTAAACTTATTCTAAAATTAAATGCTATTTCCGACATTTTTTGCTTTCATTCAATAAAATTTAAAAAAATGTAAAAATGATGGCGTTTGACTTTGTTGCAGTTTTTTTATCTCACCCTGTACAGAAAACAGTGATAGAAATCTTTTTTTCTATTTAGTGAAATTGGGCAAGGTAAATTACAGAGAATGCAGAGATGCATATTATTATTTGAAGTGACTTTATCTTCTTAATTTTACCAAGTTCTGAACATTTCAAATTTCTTTATTTTAGGTTATTTGTCCATAAAATATTTCAAAACGCCGATACACGTGTCTTCTATGTTTAGCTCTACTTTCATGAAATTATTTTTTGTGTTTCACAGGGTAGTAATAGAAAATATAAATATTTAAAAATAATAAATATTCGTATAATTCGTAACACATTTATGAATATGTCGTTTGAGACCCACCGTGCAACTGTTAACTCCAACTGATGAAAGATAAATCGAACTGTTAAATCTACAGTAGTTCCGCTCTGTTAATGTAAGAGACTTAACATAATCCCTCCATTATGACACAATCACGAATTTCTTGTCTTATTTCCGGTCACACACAGACAAAAACAATTTAAATAATTAACAACAAACCTAAGAGCAGGGTGGAATGGCAGATTGTTTAACAAATCATTTCGAAAGAATATTTGCATTAATCTTTACTTTGAATGTCTGTGGTTGTCAAAAACAAAATCCACAAAACTGCTGGCGAGGCAAATATTTTGTAAACAAACCATTTTTGTTTACGAATGAAGGCACGAAAGACAAACGATAATAACATATTCAGCAGTGGCTTAATTATTCGTTGTTAATTTCGAGTACCCAATTGCATGTGGTGAGTAACCACCATATGATGTGTGTGAGTAACAGAGCAAGTGAGATAGGGAAGAGAGAGAGTAAATTTTACAATGAGAGCCTTGCAGAAGAAGAGTCAGTCAGCCAGCCAGAATGTTGAATGAGAATATAAAACAAAACAATACACAAAATAAATAAATAAACACACAACACAAGAAAGAAGCAACCCGAAACAGAAGAGGACGATACAACAACACCATATAAAGCAGCAGCAGCAACAACAACAACACCGCCACCACCAAGAGTAGGCGAAACTATTCATTATGTTTTTTTTTTGTTTTGTTCAGCCAAGTCACTTCACACAACAGACAGAGCGGCCAGTCAGCCAGCCAGCCAACAGTACCAGTTTCGACTCCCAACTCATGTAAATTGGAATCCAGTACTGTGCCGAAAATCTTATAGATACCTTGTGTTCCCGGTTGGAATTTTTCGCATAAAAATTAAGGTTAAACAAAAAAAGAAGAAAAATCAGAAAGAAAAGAGCAAAGCAAAAAATGAATTCAAGAGAATTGAATGATTGAGTGTTTGTGCAACGCGTTTTGTGTTGCCATTTAGGCAGCAAAACAAGAAATAATTAAGAAAAAATAATAGCAATAATAACAACAACAAAATGCATTCAATAAGTTTATAAAACAAGACGAAAAAAAATCGCAAAGAAAAAAACCTCAAGCTGTTGGTAGTGTCGCTCGCGTCTCCGTCGTTATCCATTGCCCTGCAATGTCGTAAAAATGTGAAAATTCGTAGCTACATTGTAAAGCTAGTGTACGGCCAAAAGGTGCGGATCGGAGCAAGTTGTATGTTGCGTGTTTGTGGTGAAATAAGTTTCCAATTTCTGGCCATTTTTTCGCCAAGAAATGCCAAAATGTTTTAACAAAAAATCCAAAAAAATGTGGAAAGCAACGACCGATGAGGTCGTCGTCATTGTGCTGCTCTGTTGTGTGCCACAGTAGAAAAATTGCCATAAACGCGCCCAGTTTTTAATGAGTTTTTCTTGGGAAATTTCATTTGGTTTCTTTCATTACATTTGCATTTCCCCCAGGCCTTTGGCATTTGTCATCCTTTGGTCCATTACAACAGTGACGAGCTGTGAAATAAATATCTCAGAATTTTTATTAATTTTTCAAATAAAAGGCGAATTTTTTTCGCTTTTCATTGTCGTCGATATTTTGTGTATGTGTATCTATGGATTTTTTCGCTGATGTTGCCTTTGTAACGGTGTGCGTGTGTGTGTTCTTTTTTTTTGCGTTCGGAATCTGTAAAGTATCTACAAGATATCAAATCAATGAGTGTAACAGAAAACAACAAAAAAATGAAAGAGAATTCTCATTTGTTTATTTCTGGTATTTTTCTCTGTCTCTCTCCCGCTCTCTCTGGCAAACACTCTCGGCATGGGGCAAATTTGCAGAGACCAACACATGTTGTTGTTGCTGTGTGGTGCAAAAGCAAACACATTTTGTTTTGTTGTGTGAGAGGGGAAGTGTAAATTCTCTCTCTCTCTCTCAGCTGTGTTTGTGTACAACGGCGGCAGCCTATCATGACGACATTGAAAATGTGCTGTGGTTTTGTTGTTATGCGGTGGGGGTATTTGCATGCATTGCTAATCCTACTCTGTATATTTGTTGTTTTGTTTTATTTTTTTGTATAAAAAAATGCAAATAATAAACAAAAAACAAATAAATAAATTATGAGAAAATGAATGAAATAAAATAAACAAATAGGGTTATGAATAATTAATGTTTAAACACTTAAATATAATAAAGGAACGGCTTTTTCCGCAACAGTATTTTAAGAGATCTGGATCAAGATGTGGGATTATAAAATTGTTCTGCTGGGATTATAGAATCGATAGTCCCTTGATGAATGCCCACAGAATTCCATGTCAGTAAGCACTGAAAAAATATTGCTTAACTCTAGTTTAGTAAAAACTCTTTAATTTTTTTTTTTTGAAATTTTCTCCTAATTTCGGGAAACTATTTTTCTTCAATTTTTTTTTTTTTGAAATTTTCTGCAGTGGTAGTTATTTATTCCCTTATTCCGGAAACCTATTTTTCTTAGGGGACGGACCCTGGACCCTTGATTTTTTGAGCAGAAAGTCCGGGTTCAAGACCTGGGCTAGACCTGGATCCACTTATCCGATATAGACAATATAGGTATCCAACCAAAACCAAACATAATTTTAATGAACTGGTTTTTGAGGGAAAAAGGTATTAGCACAAATTGTAGCATTTTAGAAAGGTGAGAGTATCAGCTCAACTCGGAGACCCGCTGATCCTTTGTGTTCATTCTAAATTGGAACAAGAAAAAGGGATTTATATACCCCCCACCACTATGTTTATCAAAGTAAAATCGGGAAGTACCGTTATATGTGGACTAATTAGTGGACCTGAATCGAAAAGGAACCCAATGGTTGGAAATTGTGGCAAAAACGTTCAAAATACCAAAAATCTGGAGGTACCGTTATATGGGGGCTTTCCTTGAACATCAGTATCGTCGCTACTCCATTTAGAAGTCATGGCTCTCACGCTGCAGTGACCAGTGATGATACCCCCAAAAGCATTATCTTATCGCAAATTGCTGCGGTTTGCGCGGATGACGTGAACATGCTGTCGAATGTGACACCTAGGACATTGTGGTAGTTAGTGGTCGGTATTAAAATACCCTCATCAACCACTGGGCCCGACGCTATGATCGTACAATCATCCACATTCGTCTATGCCGTCTGAATGGCGAGGATTTCCGAAAAGGTAGAGGTTGAACAGTTTCGGAGATATCACCCTGCCTTGAGGAAATTCCTGTTTCACTCTACGGGCTTAGGACTTCTTGTTCCGGAATTCCACATACGACTGGCGTCCACACATATAGTTGATTATCCAACGTTTCAAACTTGGCCGGAAGGTAGTTCTCTGCACATCCTCAAATAGTGTGGCATGATTAACCGTATCGAATGCCTTTGATAGGTCAATTGCTGCCAACACTGTTTTATGACACGGCTTGTTCTAGTTCAATCCCCTACTTATATGTGGAGAAATGAAAATTAGGAACAAGGTCCTCAAGGCGCTAACCGGTAGCACTCGTGGTGCAGACAAGGAAACCCTGTTGACCTCTTGCAACACGATAGGTTGGTCTGTGGTCAGCTATGCGGCTCTATTGTTGTCTGTGAATACTAGTGCTACGCAGTGGAAGCGCATCCAGACCTGCCAGAATCGTGCCCCTAGAACTGTGACAGGGTGCCTTCTCATGACACCAGTGGACCATCTACATGAGGAGGCGAAAGTCCTTCCCTTACACCAGCATAATCATAAGCTTTCGTTACAGTACCTGCTTGGGTGCAATCGTGAGAGTCATCCCAACAACCTCTTTAATTACACTACCAAACCTACCCAACTCACTCCAGAAGATTACAGCCCATTAAGAAGCCCAATTTTTAAATCTGGAGCTCTAACCAAATTAGCAGAATTCAAACATCTGCATGTATTACTGCTACAATAATAATAACCGGAAGCTTTAGGCCAGGTTTCGCAATGGAGACGAGCAATCTTGTTCTTTTCCCGGAGATTATAAGCCGGATTTTCAGACATTAACTCCCCTAGGGACATTAATTCCCCCTTCATCGATTTTTGATGAAATCTCCTGGCGTAGTGTTTGTGTATCGCACGAAAGAAGTGGCACAGGGATGTTTTAACCGAGTTCTTAACTTCAATGTCAGTTGATTTGGATCCCCGTCTTGCCGATTTATCTGCTGTTCCATTACCTGAAATATTGTATTGGCCTGGACGCTAATAGAGTTTGATGGACAATCCAGTATATTCCAGGGCTTTCCTACACGCTAAAACTGCCGTAGATTTAATGGTCAAAGAATTTAAAGCCGCTAGAGTATCGCCGTATATAGTTACCGGACCGGTAAGGATATCAGCGTAGACAGTTATACCGCCTGTTACGGATCCAAACGACCCTTTCAAATATTTGGATGTCAAATGGTTCGAAGTTTAACCGTGGTGATATGTAGTCGCTAGTCTTGACTTCTTCTCTTATAAAGGCCGCAAAGTGTCCAAAGGATTGACTGCGCCATTGTCTAAGTTCTCTGAGTCGAAGGGCACATCTAATAACCTGTCCCTCTACGTGAAGACTTAATGGACTTAAGCAAAGTAGGGTATCCATTGCGGCTTGTGCTTCTAAATAAACCTGTGATCAGTAGCGATGCGGCTCTTTGGACATTATTAATGGCTCGATTGTAGGATGACCTACCCAAACTAGAGCTCCAATTACACCGATCGTGCGAACAATTGACTCATATATCCACTTGATTATATGCGGATTAAGATCTAATATTTTTCCTATTGAGTTCTTACAAGAGTAGAGTGCGATTAAACCCCTATTTACAGGATCCTCAGTATTTTGAGATCAGTATCGAGGTAATTGAGAAGATAAGTTCAACGTAACTCCATCTATCATTGGTGGTGAAAAAACAGGACGTTTACGTTTTCTCATGAAGAGGACGAGCTCGAGGTTTTTTGGGTTTATGCTTAGTCCATTACTGCGTGTTGACCTTGACAGTTTAACGAGAGCTCCTTGCATTGGATTTGAAATTCGTCAGTATATACAAGGACTTCTGTTCCAGTTTGTTCCAGATCCATAAGTATACTTTTAATTACTATTCATCATAATAATGGTTATACAACACTGCCCTGCGGCGTTTCCCTGTTAACTATCTCCTAATAGACATCTCCCCTCTCTGTGAATTTATGAGCATGGCATCAAACCAATCTATGAGGAGCTGAGGTACATCAAGCTTTGAAAAAGAGTTATGGATTCGAGTCTGACATTTGTAAAGGCTCCCTCGAAATCCAGAAAGGCTGCCAAGGGGAATAGAGAACCATTTATATTTTTATCAATGTGACCCATGACATCATGTTGCGCTGTCTCAACGGATTTACCTTTTACACAGGCATGCTGAGCAGTGCTGATCTGCAGTCGGGGGTAATAGGGCTCTGCTGTCAACGTCAATTAACCTTCGTAGGGTTTTTAATAGAAATGAGGAGAGACTAATAGTTTCCCAATTTTAAGGGTTGTAAGTGACGATGACTTCCATCCACAGTACCGGAATGTGTGATAGACGTAGGCAAGCCTTAAAAATCTCTCCCAGAATCGGAGATATTGCCGGATGATTTGAAGCAGTTGGAAATGTCTATGGCCCACTTGATTTTGGGGGTGTTTATAATTCTATCAATCGTGGCGGTGATTTCCATTCACAGTACCGGAATGGGCAATATATTCAGGCAAACCTTAAAAATCTCTCCCAGAATCGGAGCTATTGCCGCCGAAGCATGTTGTTTTGTGGCGAAATAATACTGTCTGGTCCGGTTGATTTGTAGGGCTTGATCCTGTCTGTGGCCCGCTTGATTTTGGGCCAATCAAACAGATTCATATTGTTACGTTCTTGGATTTTACTTAATCCCGTGTAGACGTTGTTTTATTTCCCAATACAGCTCGTACCAAATAAAACGCGGGATCTTTCGGATTACGATTATTACAATGATTTTATTCACACAACTTTACTTTGCACTTTACTCGACGGTTTCAATTCGCGATCTGATTCACAACTGACTAACTGCCTTTCCATTTCCCCTATTTATATGAGCCTCGCCTGTCGCTACAGAAGTTTCTAGACGATCTGGTAACGCCTAGATTACGAACAATCTACCAATGCAACGAACACATACAAACTTACATTGAGTGAACGATAACAACAACACATACACAGGCGAGGGGGTAACAAAGAAAGAGGAATTAAGCGATCATCAATGATGACGTTTAACAAGAATTGTACGTCAGCAACAAAATAGAAAATGAAAGAGGAAATGGAAGGATGTAGAAAAATCTATACAGTAGTTGTTGTTGTGAAGTTATTCAAATAAACTGCGTAGTAGAAATTTACGTTACAATTCAAATTCTTAAATTAACGGAATTCATCTAAATTAACTTAAATCTAAAGTTATATTCGTAACAATATCCTCCGCTTTGCAATAGCGATTGCTGTGATCGAATTGCCGATTGATTATCGCATCTTAGCTGTTTGGGGATTGAGTGCTGACTAACAGATTAAGAGCCTCAAGGCCGGAATCAGCCAGACGTGCCATCACCCCGCTTTATACTTGATATGGATTTAGGATCCTTTGAAAGGACTTTACGAAATCTGGCAACGTCATTGACGTTCTTTATCGACTCAGTGATACCTTCTTGTTCTCACTATTGTAGTTGCTTATGCCGGCCTCATATGCTTCCCAGTCGGCATGTTGTTTGGTCTTGTTGGTATTATTATACAATTGTCTGCTATCCTTCCGTAGGTTGCCTAGATGTTTCGACCACCAGACTGGTTGGCGTTTCTTGTCTGGGTAGGTAAGTGGACAGAATTTCTGGGCAAGTATATGATGACCCTACATCACTACAGCGTGATATAAAAAAACTGCAACAAATTCAAATGCCATAATTTCCACACGAGCAGAGAGCGACCATCGGCTGTTATGGCGGCCCACACCATCGTCATGGCCGGCGCTTGAGTTCTGGTGGCAAACCGAAGGTGGTGCACATTTTCAGCTGACCTCTTTGGCAAGTAAACACGATAATTTTGTTTGTTTACAAACTGCTGGGCAACGAATGTTTTCTCATCGGAGAAAACCAAATTCGGCAGTTCACCACTTTTGGCCAAGCGAAGCAACTCTTCAGCTCTTTATTTCAATATTTTCCAAATTGAATATTGCAATATGTTCAGCTCACGAGCCATTTTTCGGCCACTGCGACGTGGGTTTCGATCAAGTAGCATCTTTACTTTTCGAACCATTTCTGCTGATGTTGTTGTTTTCTTCCGTCCACTTCCTTGACGTCGGGCTATGTTACCAGTATCACGGTATCGAACGATGCTACGAGACGCAAAACGATAGCCACTTGTGGTTTTCCAGCCAAATATAAAGAAATCACACCATCACGCTTGAATTCCATCACGAATAACTTTTTTTCTGGGAAATTCTCACCAAAATTCTTTTGTACGCTTGTAAACAATATAATGAGCTGTCACTGAAATTACTTTAACAGCTGTCGGACGAATCACTTAGAAATGACAGCAGTCTAAAGTTGGTTGCAGTTGTTTCATCTTACCCTGTATGAAATTCTGTTAAAACTCCTATCGATAAGCGTTTACAACTTCGACAGCCACGTGGAACATAAATTGACTGGCTGTACACATAACTTCTTGGTAGCTTAATGTCCATTATGCTCTGTGTGAGACTGGATATATGCTAGCATGGCAGATATCCCTAGGCAGATTTCAACAAAAGCCTAGCAATGAACATACGTCGAAAAAGTCGTAAACCTAAACAAATAATAAGGATTGGATCGGCTCTTAAAGCTACTGAATCTTCTACAATCAATTCCGATGCAGTCGTGTGGTGCAGAAAGGTTCTGAGAAATCTCCACACTACTCACCGGCTTTGCTGGGTACCTGGTCATTGTTATACTAAAATAAATGATGAATTGGCGAGAATGGGCTCGCAGTCAACAGACCGACATTTTAAAACCACAATTTTGTCATTTTAGCAGAGCATTAGAACTACTCTTTATGGAGAAAGCCAAAGTGTGCTGGTGCAACGAATCCTGTTGCAAGTATCAAAACAAATCTGGTCGCGTATAACTCGGCCTCTTTTAAGCATGAATAAATCAACCCTACTTATAACACATGGGATAACTCTAGTGCCGAGTACTACAGGCTGTGTGAGGATGAGGAAGAGAATGAAATGATTGAACACCCATTATGCCAATGTCCTGCTCTATAAAGGAATGGACTATGGGAAAAGATTCGACTCATGATCTCAGTGTGCATTCAGACACTGATGCCTTTGTCATCCATACCATCGCAAACGTTTTCACTGGCTCTGGCACCGGAGTAGAACTAGATCTACAAAGATCTATCACCTACTATTTTTCTTAACTCCTTCTTCCTTTTCTTTTTCATGCTGAAAGAAATGAAAAAAAATGGTTACTTGGCGAGAGATCGCTCGAAATCAAGAGACCTTGAAGTCGTCGAAATTTGAAAACCCCCCGTTTTGTCATTTTATCAGAGTATTAGAACTACTCTTAAGAGAGAACGTCAAAGTGTGCTTGTACAACGAATCCAGGTGCAAGGTATCAAAACACATCTGACAAGATATCTCCCCGCTTAGAACTCAGTCTCTATCAAGCATGAATAAATCAACCTTACGGATAACAATAGGAGTACTAACAGGCCGCTGCAAAATCCGATCTAGAATGTCAAAATGGGATAACTCTAACGTAGAATATTGTAGGTTGTGTGAGGATATGGAAGAGAATGAAACGGATTGAACAGCCATTATGGCAATGTCCTGCTCTATCAAGAAACGAGCTGTCGGGAAACGTTCGACTCATGATCTCAGTGTGCATTCAGACACGGATCCCTTTGTCATCTATAACATCGCAAAAATGTTTTACTGCCTCTGGCACCAGAGTGGATCTAGATCTACAAAGGGGCTCTAAATCTACACCTTTACTCCATCTTCATTTTCTTTTTCTCAATTGTAACATCACATTATCTCACTTAAACTACTGCAGGATCCAATGCTACCAACTAATTTAGATAAAAATTCGGATTGTGGAAGTGATTAGTATTAAAGAAGTAATGTACAAACACACAAGGTCGACGTCGGTACTTGGCGAGATTTTGTATATTTATACCCTACACCACAAGGTGGTGAGGGTATTATGTCTTTGTGCATTTGTTAGTAACAGCCAAAAGGAAACGAGATAGACCCATAGTTCCTTTTGATGATCTGCATAGAATCACATTCTGCGTCGATTTATGCATGTCCGTCCGCCTGTCCATGCATTTTTGTAAACAAAGTACAGTTCGCATTTATTGCCCTATCCAGATAAAATTTTGCACAAATCATTTGTTTGGCCCAAGAACGAACCCTATTGAAATTGGAAATTATCGGTAAAAATTTAGATATAGATCCCATATATATCTTCGTCCGATTTGCCTTTTATTGTGCACCAAACGTGTAATATCAGCCCGAATAGTGTGGAATTTTGCACATGCAACCAAATTAGGCCTGAAAATATGTATGCCAAATCTGATCGAAATCGGTTCAGATATAGCTATAGCTCCCATATATATTGTTCATCCGATTTGAAATTTTTGTCCTCCGCAGCCGTAATATGCACTCTGTAACAACAATATTTGGGGATATATATCAAATACAGCTCAGAAATACATTTGCTAAATTTTATCGAGATCGGTTCAGATTTGGATATAGCTCCCATATATAACTTCGTCCGATGTAGCTTTTATTGTGCACCAAACGTCTAATATTTGTAGAAATTGGATGGCATTTGGCACATACGACCGTATCGAGTTTAGGAGCCAGTATGTCAAATTTGGTGAAGATCGGTTCAGATATGGCTATAGCTCCCATATATATTGTTCATTCGCTTTGTTGTATTTGTTACCCACAGCCGTAATATGCACACCGTAACAACGATATTCAGGGAAATAGATCAAATACAGCTCAGAAATATCTTTGCCAAATTTTATCGAGATCGGTTCAGATTTGGATATAGCTCCTACATATATCTTTATCTGATTTTAAATTAATTTGGCATCAAATGGGCAATACAATTCCGAATTTGAAAGATACAAATGCTTCGGCATATTTAGTCCTTTGAACTTTAAATCATAATTATAATCATAGCGTGTATGATTGAATTCTCCCATAAAAACTTTTAATTGTTATGAGGAGCTCCACTAAATTAGCAAAGTGGTGTAGGGTATCATAAAGTCGGCCCCACCCGACTTTAGGACTTTCTTTACTGTTTTTGTTATATGTTTAAATAGTATTGTTCCTGATGATGTCTTCCGTCGGAGGACGAAATATCGAAAATGGAAAATAAATAAAAAAAAAACAAGATTCTTGCAGGTTCTGGATCGGGCCATGATTGGCGAATATCTTATAAGATAATGATATATAAGATAATGAGTCCAATATCTCCAAATAACGGTGGCGGAGAAGTACCTGCAAAATATATTCATTCATATTCCTTTAACTTTTTAAAATGTAATGAGAGAATATCAAAGTAACTTTTCCCAAAAAAGCACTCAATAAAAATTGTTCTCTGCAGCCAAAAATTATCAAAGCAGCATTGAAAATTACATTAAAAAAATAATGAAAAATAAATATCCAGAAAAAAATATAAAATCGAAATACGATTTGTGCAATATACATATTTTCAACAACAAAAAATAACATGGAAAATTCAAGAAAATGGAAGATAATCATATACACGAAGTGAATCTCATATAAGTGAAATCAATTGTGAAAAAGAAATACTTGTGAAATCGGTTAAGAGAGATCAATGATGGCTTTTCTTCCGTGCAGAAGAAAATAGTACATCCTTAAGTGAAATAAAAACATCAGAAATCCCTCCCCCACAAAATTATTATTAATGGGCCCCGCAAAGGAATAACCACACAAATATTAAAGAATTTCCTGACATCCCCCGTTTACGGATTTATTTCGTTTTCTTTCTCCCTTTCCCTCTGGCATCGGTAATGAAAAAGACACCGCTTAATAAAGGGGGTCACATGTAAAGGTAAGTCAATGTGAGATTGCGTCTTTATAGAGTAATTGAAAATTAAAATCAAATGTATTTTAAGTAAAATATTTCAATAGGAGCGATAAAGTCCTGCTTAAAATTATGGTACAGTTAAATCTCAAGATGGGGTCTTAAATTGAATTTTTTTATTACACATTTCCTCCTCCGCTTTCAGAAATGCAAGTCTTTGTCAAAATATTTTAATATGTATAGAAAACTTTGAAATAGTCTCCATTGCATAGAAAACCTCCAAGGGGCCTTGAAAAATATTTAAAAAGTGTGGGAGATTTTCAATGTGTAGCAGACTCTTTAAAGTCGTATATTTAACTGGCAATACCAAAAATAATTACAGAGGGGCTAAATTCCCCCCTCTTCCACATTTTTTTTATTTTCAACTTAAGATCCTTGGAATCCCTGCATTTAAAATATTACTGATTACGATATGAGAATTATTTTGGTCGAAATGTTAGACATCAAGCGAGTCAGCAAAAAGGTACTTCGGGTTATTTTCCCAAAATTTAAATTTAAATTTTTTTACAAAATTATTTGTCATTATAAGTCCTAACTTGCTACGTCGTAGTGTTATTATCCAACTTTGGAGATACGCAATATTGACCCACTTCCTCTAGTACTTCCCCCACAACGGGTTAACATTTTGAACAATCAAAACTCCTATAGAAATAAAAGTCCGAATCTTTTTTAACTTCTCAAAATTTCTATTAATCTGAGATTTGGTTTGAAGATAGGATAGAGCGAACCACCTCTTTTGGTAACTCCCCTCAATGAATTAAAAGACTCCGAAAAAGGTTATGTCACCTAGGTCTAAATCCCCAAAAATAGTCAACGTTTTCAAAAATTCCGAGAGGTACGAAATTGAAACTGATCAAAAAATTACCCAAAAAGGATGCAATTCCGGGACTGGGTGGCCGAAAACAATCCATAGGTTAACTTGGTTCACGTTTTCGTACCTCCCCAGGGACAGTTGGAAATTATCAAAAACAGTGAGCTTGGGCGCCTTTTCGGTCAACGTATACCTGCATCACCCGGAACTGGTCAATATTTCCAAAGAGGTTCCAAATCCTGGGGATATACGAAAACTCAGACCAAAATGCGGCCATTGGCAATGTAGTCCCACGCTTTTGTACCACCCCCCCTCGAAGCTGGTCAACATTTCCCAAGAGGGTACTAATCCCGAAAACGTAGTCCGAAAAGCAGCTATGGGCAACATGGGTACATGTTTTTCTGCCTCCGCCGAAACTGGTCACAGAGTTCCATTCCAGGATCACGTGTATACAACAGGGAATTCGATCTAGGTCCAGGTCATAGGTCACCAAGGTATACGTGTTCTTTGGTATTTTAACCTGTTCAGTGGAAGTTAGGACAACTTGGACCTAAGGCCCCTTCTCGGGCCACGATTTCGTACCTGATTCTTAATTTAATCCACTTTGAAAGTTTGGTCCAGTTCCGAGGGATGTAGGAAAAAGTGAGCCAATGTGACAACTTTTTACAGATGTTGAGCAGTTTCGGGCGAGGCACAAAAGGTTGGATCTAGGTTGCTTATGACCGCTTTTCGGTGTACGCTTTCTACCTCCTGGGAAGGTATAAAAAACGTGGACCTATGAACCCTCTTTTGAAATGTTGACTAGTTCCGGGCACGAAAAGGTGTACCTAGATAACCTATGACCAATTTTCGATAAAGTTAACCAATTTCGTGGAAGGTACGACAACGTGGACCCATAGGGAGAGTGTTTTGGAAATCACATGAGGCCGATATTTGGGGCGTCTTCAATATCTCGGGCAGTGTAACCCACTACAAACTCCAAATTTTAAACAATTCTAATATAATATGTGGGCTAAGTCGTCAACATACAGAATATCGAGAGGTACCGTTATATGAGGCCGTATGATTACAGAGGATATATATAATTTGATACGGCAAAAATATCTGTCAGACTTTCTGGACGAAAACTCTCGAAGTGATCTTCCGATTTCCAATGTTACGAAAGTTAGATCGAGTTTGAAGGTGGGCACTGAAATCAATGTCCGATTTTCTTTAAAGTATTACCTGCCCAATATTTTGTGTGTCTAAAAAAGTCTCCCGTATTAAGCAAGGGAAACATCCGATTGGCTGAAACTGTCCATGTCCTAAGCATTATTTGTATCAAACTAAGGTAAATTGCGGAAATGGGAGGAAAATTCTGCCCACCAACCTTTTCGTTACAAAAGATCAAATCCTTGAAAGCCTTGAATCCTGCGAAATCATTCCGTTTGTTGCTCCTCGAAATACTCATGTCAGACCCAACAAAGTATATATATTCTTGATCAGCGTAAAATTCTAAGACGATTTAGCCATGTCCGTCTGTGTGTCTGTCTGTCTGTCCGTCTGTCTGTCTGTTGTAATCACGCTATCTTTCGAACAAATTGAGATAGAAGGGTAAAATCTTGCACACATGTTTATTTTGCCAGTAGGCAGGTTAAGTTCGTAAATGGGCCATGTAGGTCTAAGTTATCATATAGCCCATATAACGGTATTTTGATGATTTTAGCGATATTATTCACCGGAATTGTTTCAAATTTGTCATTTGTAATGGATACTACAGCCTAAGACAGAAAATTATCTGTGTAGGTCCGCGTCTTCGTATAGCCCCCATATAACGGTACCCCTCCATATTCGGTATTTTGATGATTTTAGCGACATTATTTACCGGAAATTTGGTATTTGAAGTTCGTAGTAGATACTTCATCCTAAGTCAAAAAATGAGCCATGTAGGTCCAAGTCTTCATATAGCCCCCACATAACGGTACCTCCCGATATTCGGTATTTTAATGATTTTAGCTACATTATAAACAGATTTTTCTTCAAGTTTCGCATTTAAATACTGTAATAACTTATGACAAAAGTTGCCTATGCAGATCTACGTCGTCGCATAGGCATTCGGTATTTTTAAGATTTTAACAGAATTTTTAACGGATTTTATTTTTCTTTTGGAAATTGCAAATTTGTACCAAATGTTGGAGGGTATTAAAAGTTTGGCCCGGCCGAACTTACAGATTTTTTACTTCTTATATTTCGAAACTTAGGATTGAAGAAGTGTTTTAAGTTGATGGAGAAGGTCCAGTTGACTTTGTACGGATTTTATATTGTTAGGGTCCTTTGCGACCACTCGGATGTTTATGTATGTTCACGTCTTAAGTATCTGCAAGAATAGATAGTCATGAGGCCATAAACGCAACATCGAAGTTTATATATATTTTGCTGCCTCAGAAGATCGCTTCAAGGTCTTCGACATTTTGGACTTTTTCTATAACCTGTACCCTCCTAAGAGGTCTTAAGAATAAAAATAAAATTGTTGAATCTTTAAAACATCATCTTCTATCTCTTGAAGAACTTTAAATGTCTTCCTTTTATAAATCCATTTAGAAAGTAGGTATATACGCATGGGGAGTCAATATTTAACGGAAGATCTCTTAAAGTTTTTGTGCCTATAATAACTCGTTGATAGTATTCTATCTTAAGAAAAAATCCTTTATAAGCATTCCCTTTGTTCCAGAATTCCATTGATTTTAAATAGTTAGATTTCAATAAGAAAATCTTTGTATCTTTTGTTCCAATCAGCTTAAATCGGAAACTCAATTTGCAAACGGTTTGTTTGTCGTTGTTCGGTATGGATATCAGTTTGTTTGGTAAATATGTAGTGTAGTGTTGTTAACAACAATAACAACAAAACGTAAACAACTTCGTTTCAGGTGTGCAGATTCAGCCAAATACACTCAGTTTCTCTCTCTCTCTCTCTCTCCCTGAGAACACCCAAGATTACAAGGCGCGTGCCTACTGCACACACAGTTTGAGATACTTGTTACAATTCGTTGCTGTTGTCATCTGTCAAATACCTTTCGGTGTGACACAATTGTTTTGTATTTGTTTATGTGACATGTAAACAAAAACTTTGGCAATTGTTGTTGGCAAATGGCAAAGAGAGCGGGAGAATTTATTTTTTATTATTAAAATTTTTGCCATTTGATTTTGTTTATATGCGGAAAAGAACACGGAACACTCACACAAAGGTAAACCTCTGTGCAAACTTTTTATACCCTCCGTTTGTAACACTTCGAAATATACGTTTTAGACCCCAAAAAGTATATATATTCTTGATCAGCATAAAATTCTATGTCGATTTAACGTCCGTCCGTCCGTCTATCCATCTATCCGTCTGTGGAAATCACTCTAGCATCCGAACGAAATGAAGTAGATTGATAAAATTTTACTCAAAGGTATATTATGTCTGCATGACTTTTGGTATTTAAAATGGGTCATGTAGATCCACGTCTTCCTATAGCCCCCATACAACGGTACCTCCCAATATTCTGTATTTTAATGATTTTAGCGACATTATTCACCGGAATTGTTTCAAATTTGGCATTTGATGTTCAAAATGGATACTACAGCCTGTGAAAGAAAATTGTCTGTGCAGGTCCACGTCTTCGTATAGCCCCCATATAACGGTACCTTCCGATATTCGCTACTTTGTTGATCTTATCTACATTATTCACCGATTTTTTTTAAGTTTCGCATTTGAATATTGTAATTGCTTATGACAAATGTTGCCTATGCAGGTCCACGTCTTCGTATAGATCCCAATACAACGGCTATATTCGGTAATTTTAAGATTTTAATAGAATTTTTAACGGATTTTATTGTTTTTGAAAATTGCCTAATATTCAAAGTTCGGCCTTGCCGAAATATTTAAAAAAAAATAATTTAAAATTATATAAGTAAATATATTTTTACTAAAAATATGTCGAAAATTACTTGCAGGTCACACTCTGCGACTAATAGATTTTTACAAGCACTTTGTGTGCGGTACGATATGTATGTATTTATACATCACACTGAACCAAATAAAACCCACGTTTCGAACCGCTTGAAAAAACTCATTCTAAAACCGAACCATGGTTCGAAAGGTAGCGTTAACCACTGAACCGAACCAATCAAGGTA